GTTGAGGTATAGGTTGTTCTGGTTTTGGTGCTAGGGGGGGGTGCATGGTTAGAAAATGGAAATGGTCATTGCTAGCTTATTTGGGGTCCTTATAATAAGGATCCTACTATTTAAAGTACTATTTTTTGGGTCCCCTATTTTCGGAAACCCCCATATTCCTGTCTAGGGTTTATACTGGAGTTTTCCCTAAACCCTAAACCCCTAAACCCTAAACCTGGGGTTTGTCGGGTCCAGGGACCCAAGGGATCCAGCTTGAGAGCATTTTTAACATTCTTGGGCTTCCGCTTTGGGCATTCGGGGCTTCTGGGCTTTTGGGGTTTGGGGGCTTGAGGTCTGGGCGGAAGGACCCGCGGCGATGGAATTTCATCGCATTTTTTCCACTTCGCCCCGTCTTAAACTGTTCTTTCGGGTGTCGGCACGTTGCTCAGTCATAGTTTAACCCCAGCTACATGCCAAATCCCAAAGCCATCCCAAACCCCAAAGCCATCCTTCGCCCGCGAAGTAGAATTAAACCAGAAATGCAACGTGTGGCCTGCCAGTGGTTCAATCATGGCACTAGTACTATTGACTACTTCCTGATTTGGCAGGCGCAGTAGCTACTATTGGTGTTTCTACTTTCAGGGTCTTTTGGTTTGCCTTCCCTAGTCGGATTGCCTAGTTTAGCTTGGGTTCCGCCATGTTGCTATGTGCTGGCAGCCCTACCATCACCAGCTATTTGCATTATGTCTGCTCTCAGTACACTTAAACCCTAAACTCCCTTAAACCCCTAAACCCTAAACCCCTAAACCCCTAAACCTACTCACTGCATTCCTCTCGCGGAGCCTGACTTCCTTAGCTTCGCTGGCCCGCCCTCTCCGGCCCAAGGCTGAATGGCTTAGATCAGCCCGAGCTCCATTTTTTTGGGCGGGTTTTGGGCCTCCCCACCTGGGTTTAGGGTTCAGGGTTCTTTTTTGAGGGGGTTTTGGGCCTCGCCAGCTCGGCTTAGGGTTTAGGGTTGAGGGTTTAGGGTTAGTGTTAGGGTTTAGGGTTCAGGGTTTAGGGCTCCAGATTCGGATGTCCAAGAAAGCGTGCTGTAGTAGCAGGAACTCTTGAGCGGTGTGGATGAGTCGGCACGCGTCTTAAGTCTAAGGGGCCTGTTGTTTGCATGATGGGCCCGTTGTATTGGGACTACTGACTCCTTGCAATCAAGTTCTCGGTCCTAAACCGCGAGCCTCTAGCCCCTAGACCCTACCTAACCGTAAACCTCATGAAGTCCTACTTCCGTGATGGCATCCTGAAGACGCACACTCGCTGTTGGAGCCATGCCACTCGGCTTTTGCTTGCTGAGTTTCAGCACGAGAAGTATACTTGGAGGGCCGGGGGACTTGGTATTTGTAAGTAGATAATACGTAGAGTTATATAGGTACCCGAAAGGGATCCTAGTTGGGTATATGATGCTTATAACTTTATATACAATAACTACCTACTTAGTCCCCCGGCCCTCCAAGTATAGGGATGAGAGATCCGCCCACAGCGTGTGCTCCAATTCAGCGCGGTTAACCACACTTTGAGGCCGGGATAAACCTTGAACCTATACCGGCCTACTTTGCGCACTGAAACCCCCGAAGGCTCGCTAGGATTGTCTCATGCTGGGCTGAGGTTTTGGCTCTAGGGCTGAGCATTCAATTCAGGCTTCAGGGTCTCGCGTTTTTGGCGCTCTTGGGGTTTTCCAGAGCTCTTAACCGGACGACTCTGCAACGACAGTGCCTGCGACCTTGTGGGGTTGCGTCTCTGTAGCAGCCATTACTGGAAGGTATCCGGCTTCAGAGTCGTGTTTGGTGTTATAAGACTCACCCTTCATTCCATCCAAAAAAAGAGCACCATGCTCAGGTTCTCATGCTGGTTTGCGAGGTTTACGGCCCTCGCAACTTTGTGGCCTTGAGCCATGTCTGAGATGGGCTGTTTACGGCTGTTTTTGCTTCCTGAAGGCATTGCCCCAAAACCTGGTGTGATAGTTGAGGTCCCGATATGATAGAACCCGTATGGCAACCGGTGAGGGAGCGCTATCTCAATGGTTAAGGCCCCTATCTTCAGCAAGCAGGCCCTCGCGAGCTTACTTGGTAAAATAAGGGTTTTGACTTAGGTATGTCTGCAGCAACCTAGAAGCCAGCCATCTCAAGCCTTACCCTGATTCCCACCTAAAGAAGAGAATGGCACCAGAGACATAGATTATCCACGCAAGATCTGAGCATGAAGGATTCTAGGCGTACCCTAAGCCCGAAACTTACACCCCTGACAGAACACTCAGGATCCACTTCGGTGCTAACGTACTCTGGCAGTTCCTGACCCTCAACGCAACGATCGAGGAGGTTTTCAGGACCTGAGTGCGCGCATTTAGCTGAAAAGATCTGCGTCAAGAGCCGAGAAGTATCGGACCGAGGCACACTCAGGGCTAGAAATCTATACTGGCAGGGTTTCATGCACACAGACTATGAAGGGAGCGATTTCGCAGATGAGTACGGCTCAGACCGGCGCACAACGGCATTTTGCCACCTTGACTCCCGCTTGAAGAGGACCGTGGATGTGATCACCATCATGCCGTGCTCTGACTGTACACCAACGGAGGTAACACAGAAGCCTCAATGATTATCTACAATATTCCTTCTCCTTAGGGGTTCCTTCTTAACTATATAGCTTGGTGTGATATTTCGAACAAAATTCCCAAGTCTAATTATCTTAAGGCCCCATATCTTACCTTTATCCTTTCCAGGCTCGCAGGATGCCGGTGAGGTGCACAGTCCCCGGGTTTTTAGACTAGGGAACTCGGAAACCTGGCATACCCTCTAGAGGCTCGAATGCTCTAGAGGGTGCGGGGTTTGGAGTTTAGGGTTCAGGCCAAAGTTCAAAGATATATATATATATATATGTATATATATATAGAGTAGGGTATGGTTTAGGTTCCAGGGTTGAGGGCTTAGGATGCTTTCATCATCAGTCTAAAACGCTCTTATTTTGTCATGAGGTCTGTGATCAAGACCAATATGTACAGAGTCCGGGTTGTTGTTCACTGCTCATGAGTCTTGGTGCCATTATGCGGACTCTTGCAAAGACAGCCCAATCCCCAAAACCTCTTGCTTCGTCTCGACCGAAGTCGGACGTTCGAACGATAATGACCCCAAACCCTAAGCCCTGAATTCGGAGACCGAGGGGTCAATACTCCAAGCAGTGAAACCAAGAAAAATCAGCACGGACCAGCACGCACCATTGCCAGAATCGAAGGTGACAAAGATGGAATGCAAGCCTAGCAGCAAACGCAGCACCGAATCAAGCCCAAGAAACCAAAACTCGACTTAAATGACTGACGAGTTTTTGTTGATGGGCTCTATAGGCCCTAAGCCCTACGGACTGTGGCCGGAAGTTGCTCATCTGCTATTTCTGTTGGCCCCAGGCTTCTGTTCAGCGGCCTTCATGACATTGCACCAGCGGAGCTTCAATGGGGGCCTGAGGGCTAGGCGTGAATATTATGGCAGTGCCTGTTGGCAGGGTTTTTTTTGGAGCATACTGGATGTTCATTAAGTGTACAGGGCGACCAGAAAGGAATATTATTACTGCTGATTATGGCCGACCCCTATAATAGCTGTTCTTTGGGGGTTTAGCCGCTTATATAGCGGATTTGGATCTAGGGTTCAGTGTTTCACGAGTGATGCTGTTAGCCTTTTCGAGGTGTGGGTTTCGACCAGTTTAGGCTGGCTGGGTTTGGGCTTGAGGTGCTTCTGGGGTACCAGAGGAATACTTACCTTGGCTATGGGGATTTGCGGGCTCGGAGATGACGGTTCTGGTTGCTGACCCATGAGATCTTGCTTTGGACATCCCAAATCTTGTAGTACAGTCCGAATCCCCACGGAATTCTCGAAGGTTCACGGGCATGAGTTGCGAGAGCAGCTAGTAGTTGGGCTAGATGTGAGATGCACCTTGATCATGCAATGTACTCCTATGAGCTATGACTATTTTATACAGTAGAAGCCCAAAAGTTGGAAACCCACTAGCCTCAATCCCTAAGAGTAATGTATAAGCAATCCCAGCACTAATTGTCCTGAATCCGGTTGCCAACTTTTTGGGGTTTACCATAAGCCGAGCGAGGCGATGGCACGTGTGCTTGCAACTCCATCAATCTTCGGGTGTGGGCCCTACACCCCCCAAAACAGCCTAGAGATCCCGGGTTTAGGGTTTTGCGTTTCAGGAGCAGCACCTGCAAATCCAAGTGATGGGCATCTCCACCTTTGTTCTGGCATCTCTGGCAACTGCAGCTTAGACCAATTTCGCTGATCTACCGCATGCTAAAAACAAGATGATCACGGGGGCTCGCCTCTATGTCTATGTTTTATAGGCTTAAATAACTACCAAAACTATTTTGGCGTTCTGAAGTTAGATTATTCCGAAGTTAGATTATAATAGAATGGGCCCCTAAATGACGCATGTCATGCGACTATGCCTCTCTTGCCAGGGGAGTTTCACGGCTTGTAGTTTGCTTCAGGTCTGACATTAGGACGTGACAAACACATCAGTGCTGATTAGGGTTTAGGGTTGAGTTGATAAAGCGTCATCTGTCATGGCTTGTCGAACGGGTTCTAAAGTTATTTGTTACACATACCCGGACATTCCCTAAGTCCTAAACCCTTATAGATCCTGTAGAGGAAACCCAAGTTTAAAAGCCTCACCCGCAATTTGCCAAAGAGCTGACAGCTTTCAAGGACTCCGGAGTAGCTAGGTAGTGAAAATTGGTTGGAAGTGCAGGTCCTGAAGTCCCGCACATTTGGTTCGAACTCTTATACCTCAGGCGGGAATCTCCTGACTTCAAATCCAAGTCCGAGCAAGCGCTCAACTCGACACGCTAATGACTAAAATATTTGATATCTTAGTTCGAGAGCCTCCATAGCTAGTACTAGGATTTGCTCCAACTCCCGTTGAAAGTTACTAGAGTATACTGGACTTCGAAATTTAATTCGCTGAGATATATTCTCCACCCTCTGTGTACTGCAAGGTCTTCATGCGGCAGTACAACTTACTGACGCAGGGGCCACGTGCCTTCTTTCAGCCGGTTTTGGCCGTTGTTTGTGTTGTTTAGAGGGTAGGTGGTGTTCAGGGTTTACTATAGATAGGAAACTGAATATTGCCAATGCTATTTCTTATCGTTCCTCACTATAGCTACACTGCAGCTACACTGTATCAACCCCCCCCCCACCGTAAAATAAAAGAAAAACATACGAATGATGGTCTCGATATGACGAATTTTTTCGGGTTTACACAGGGGTTAGCGGCTTTGTGGCGCATGGTTCTTATGGTTTAGGCTCAGGGGCCAGCGATGGGCACAGCATATCTCTTGGTGTTCATTGGTTAGGGTTTCGGGATTTTTCGTTCCATATAACGGTAGTTGAACAATCATGAATCGTGAGGATAGCATTATCGAAAAATAAAGTAGTGCTTGCGACGATATGCACAGCATCAATACTCGCAGAATATTACAGCTGCCGCCCCTCTGCTATAAGGGCCTTAATAACTGCCTATATTATTTCGGGGTCCCTTATTGCATTTATAGTATAATTGTACCCCCCCAAAAAAAACACACACACACACACAAAAAAAAAAACAACCTAATTATTCTAATTAGATATGAAGGCCCCTATATTACCCTTAATCACAAACCCAGGTTCGGTCTTCTGGCGTTTCTGTTCTGTTTCGTTCCGGCGCAGCGCGCGCTGGACCAAGCCTGCCAGGAAGCCGGGCAGCGGCTGGGAGATGAAATGTTCGAGGAGGGTTCAGGGGTTTAGGGTTCAGGAGTTTAGGGTTCAGGTGTTCAAGGTTTAGGGTTCATGGGTTTAGAATTCAGGTGTTTAAGGTTTAGGGTTTAGGGTTCAGGGGTCTTTTAAAGTTTAGGGTTTAGGGTTCAGTTTAAGGTGTTGGGGTTGAAGGTTTAGAGCGCGTGGGTGCAAGAATTGGGGTTCCCTAAACCTCGCCTAACCTCGTCAAGTGCGAATGCTGAAAAAGAAATGGGGTTTAGTGTGTTGGGGGGGTTTGATTAGGGGTTTAGAGTTTATAGTGTTTAGTGGTTGCAGCCTCAGGAGTGTTAGGCTTCAGGGTTTCGGGACATTGCGGGCCGCGAGTGCGCAGGTGTGTTGAGGGTTTAGAGTTGCGAGGGGTTGAGGATTTCGGCCGACTGATTTTTCGTCATGACCTAATCCTGTGCGGTTGACGGAAAGCATTTATCGTAACAGGTCATCAGGTTTGCAAAGCTTTGACGGGACATCGGCGATCGAGCTGCACCCTGAACCCCAATATGAATGCTTTCCGCCATTGTGAGTCCAAGCGCCTAGGAAGGCCTTGCTGCTGTTCCTCATCTATGCGCTCCTTTTCGTCCTACATCTTTGGGGCGATTCAAAGGCAATCCCTGGCATGATGAACCTGACCGAGGATGGGTTCCATTCATTGCAGGTTATAGCCTTCACTTGGGTTCTTGTGGGAAGTCCTTCCGATAGCAGCCAGATTATCGGACCGATATGTTTGCAGAGCCCGTGTCCTGCAAGCAAAGATCAAATTCTCGGTGGCACCAAAGACCTCAACAATCCACGGTTTGAAGCCAAAGAGCCCTCAAAATAATAAGGCAAACCCTGAACCCTCGGGGTGTGGGAGCAAGTGTGAGGCTTGATCTCCACATAGTTTGAGAGGTCGCGTGGGAAGCCTGACTCGAAGTGGACATTGTAGATGCAATCTTTAAGGGAGCGAGGGTCAAGATCTATCAACAGTGAGCTCCCCCCCACATGTAGATAGCTGTCAGAAGTAATTGTTGGGGTTTTGGTATTTCCAGCCTGCTTGGTAGGTTTTGCGGTGTCTGATCCGAGGATTGATAGGCTTTAGAGCTGCTCATAGGCTGATAGGCTTAGGTTTCAGAGTTCAGAGTTCAGGGCTGGGTGTTCAAGGTTGGAGTGTTTGGGGCTCAGCGCTTATTGGGCTTACGAGTTTCGGGTTTGCGGCTTCAGGAGTTTATGCTTTAGGGTTTAGGGAACGGCTTTAGGAGTTTAGGGTTTAGGGGTTTAGGGTTCAGGGTTTGGAGTTTATGCTTTAGGGTTGTGCATCTGCCCAACAGGACCTCCGTCGGAAGCATGTGTCCTGGTTTGCATGAGCTGATGCGTTCGGGGCTTTGTCCGTTCACATTCTACTACACTCACTAGACTGGCTGCTGGCATGTAAACCACATTCCAAACTCCAGGCCGCACGAAGATTGACACGACGGTTTGAGTATAAGATAGTGCGACGCAGAGGACGTAACAATGCTGCCTTATAATTAATTCACAAGCATCGGCGAGAGAATCTTGACGTATTGGCTTGGCACCCCAGGAAGCTTTAGCTGAAGATTCGGATGTAGCCGAGATAGGTTCGTTTAGGGTTCAAGTTTCAAGATGTCCACAGCGCAGTCGGCGCCTCGCTTCCTGGCATATGCATAGTGTAAAAATATTCAAGATTGAAAATGTTTGGTTTTGCTTGGAAAGGCAGGGCTGACTGAGGATCTGTTGAACACACTTTTGAGTTGGGAGAATGTCTTCGGCACTGCGGGGTGCCATATCGGCCCCCGTCGCGTAGCATCCAAGGCGGGAACCACACTCGGATTCCTGCTGAGTTTGGCAAATCTCTATGACGTCGGGCACTGGAAGCACGTCATGAATTTGGGCGTAGAGGTTTAGAACCTTGTTAGGTCTTCAGGGGTTCCTTTAATCTGTCCGATCCTTCTGCTTCTACGCCTCGAACGCTTCTCATTGTGAATGTATTTATGGTTTTGTGATTCCCACTCGTTACCAAACAAATCCAGTCTGTCATTGTTGTTTGCGTGTGGCTTTGTTATGCTTTCTCTTCTCAGCAGCTGCTACACCTCCGACACTGATAGTGATTTCGTGGGTTTAGGTTGTGTGGTCCAAGTTAAGGAGCAAAGCATCTGCTGTTTGTTTAGAAGAGTTCTAGACTGAATTGGTATTGAAAGTTCTGGATGTGTCATCCAAGTAGAAATTTGTTCTGCGGATTCTATTTTATAGTTCTGTTTGAGCTCCTGAGTCTGGCGTCATCTGCGGATCACACCAGGACCAATGCTTGCGAATCAAGACGCCAGGATTCGGATTTAGGGGCTTACAACGGATTTCGGAAGCTGCCTTGCGTGTTTTGATTGTTGCTTTTCTGCACGTGATGGCTGAAGATCCACTACCTATTAATTACACCGGGTTATGCCGCAGCCTTATACTAGACCCCCTGTTCTAATACAGACGTATCTTTTCATGTATGCATATGTATAACAAGCACAGATAGCTGGTAATCTCAAATATCCGGGTTTCCAATCGCAAACCTGAAGAATAAGCCCCGGGAACGACACCCTAAACAGACACTCGAGTCATGCTCAGGTTCTGCGTTGCCGCGTACTTTGCGATGGCGCCGTGCCGGCTAGTGTAGCAGTATAGGGACGGTATCGGTACTGGTAGTAGTGAGTTAAACGACGCCCCGTAATTAGCTTAAAACAACTGGAGCGTGCTCGCACAGATACTGACAAGCCACATGTAATTTTTATACTGAGACATACGCGAACAGTTGTTTGTAATTCTACACCGACTTTAGATGTACACATGCACACAAGCATGCCTGCAGACGTCCACACATACATACGTGCCATCATGCACGCATGCACACAGGCAGTCTATTTTGGAGTCTGGAGTCGACTCTACAGTACCCCCCAGCCTGATAAGCATTTCATGCCAAGAAGCAGGTGAAGATATCAGATGTAGGGAGACTGCTAAAGGAAACCTTGGGTCGTTTTCAGGGCTCTTTGCGTGAATCCCTATGCTTTGGGGTTATAGGGCCGGGGGTTTCTTCGTCAGGTTCCTGCATGAATGTCATGGGAGTGCCCAGCCGCAACTCACACAGCTCCGAAGGTCCGAGCATGGAGCAGTTTCTGTTGGGCCATGGCCTTCGGTGGACTGTTTCAGCCTTGTAGGGTTGAATGGCACTTGGGAAACGTTCGGGTGTCGGTGACGGTCTTGTAGAGGCTTCCAGACGTTTAAACACATGGTGGTACTTCCCGAAAACATCCAACATCTTCGACAGAGTTTTTGGTGTTAAAGAACTACGTAACTTATCAGGTGTCTAGCACACTACTATTTTGGGAGTTCTTTATTATTGGTATAGTACAATATGCCCCAAGAAGGTTCTTAAACCCAGACTCTCTCCCGGGTACAGGGCGTAGGCATAGAGTCTTCAGGGCTTGCTCTAAGCCCTGAAGGCGACTCTAAACCTACTGGGAGCCTCAAGCTACCGCCCATAGTAGTAGTAGAAGTAGAAGTAGTAGTAGTAGTAGTAGTAGTAGTAGTAGTAGTAGTACTGGTAGTAGTCGTCGTCGTTTAGGGCTTAGGATTTAGGGTTGAGGGTTTGTAGGGACACGTCCTTGCTAGGAGAGAGGCCGAAGTTCGTAGGCTGACTTGACGGAATGCGCGCAGCACGGAAAAGCGATCCAGCTGGTGAGAGGAGCATGTGGGTCTTAGGGTTTAGGGTTTAGGGTTTACTGGGATGAGCATGTGCGTGATTCCTGGTGGGATGGGATGCCCCGAGTATCAGCTTATTCAGGTTGATGTTGCTTCTCGGCCCTGAAGTCTAAACCTTAAGCCTTAAGCCATATTAAGCCCATGTTTAGTTCTTCGTGTCTTTCACATTTTCGGGATCATAGCAGAGGATTGTTAGACTCATGGGGTTCAGAGATTTCCATCGGCATGGAGGGCGGGTGTTGGAGCTAAAACCTCCTCATGATACATACTTCGACAAGTCAGAACACTCATCTCTCGCCAATCATGAGGGACGTTTGTTCTTCTGAAGCCAGACACAGCCGTAATGTTCACAGCCAGGCATTACAAGAACGAACACATGCGCCTCATAAGCCAGACAAGGATCAATAGAAAGCCACGCCAAGCCAGAATAACATCAAATCAGGTCACATCATCAGCAACAACACCATCCTCTTCATCATGGGGTTTGAGTGGCATACATGTCCGATCCAGTTGTGATTCTCGCTTGGAGCCTGAACCACCAGGGGTTTGGTTCAATTCATGCGGGGAGTCCGGATGTTCGCCGTCGTCGGCTTATGCACTTTTCGAGGCAATAAGGGGAGCATTGCCGTTGGTTTGAGTGGCACTTGTCGTCCCTTCTGGAACGTGCAGCCCAATGATCCCTCCAGCCAAAGCCTATAACAGCATAACCCGAAACTCGTCTCCCTTTGAGTCGCAACCCTCGCCTCCCAGCTCCCCTATAAACGCTTACACCCGTCCTAAAACCCAAGCCTCATGCAACCCCTGACCCCTATCAACAACCCCAGAAAACCATGAACCCTAAACCCTAAACCCTTTAAAGCTTTAAAAAAAAGAGAGGAATCCTTAAGCTCCAAACCGCTCTCAAAGGCCCATACCGGCCAGATGATTGGCGGTCTCATGAATGCCACCTTTGGAAATGCAGCCTGATCCTCAGACGGTGCTTTCGGGAGTCTGCATCTAGTAGTGGTGCAGTGTCGGGTCGGAAAATGGCACCTTTATGATTATTATTCAGTAGTAATTAGTCGTCTCCACGGTCCAGGAAGACTTGTTGTCAACATTCTGAGTCTGTGTATCCTTGCTGGTGCTCTTATTAGGTTCCGAACCACGACGAGCCCAAATCCGCAGCCGCGAACATGAATCGAATATGAACCAATTAAGGCAATGGGGCGCGCGGGCCTTGTAGAACCGCTTCCCAAAACCTTCACTCAAACGATACAAGAGATGGAGACCACGACAATGACCTCAACTAGGAACAGGATGCCAGTCGGGGGTTCTGAATTTGATCATGCAGAGAACTCAGAATTTGGGTGAGGGTCGAGGCGTGGATTTTTCGGTTGTCCTAGGTCCTAGATCCACAACCCTACATCGCAAACTTCAAGCGAGCAGTTCTCTAAACTAGGGCCCAGTTTAGGGTTCCTTTTGCATAAGCCTGCCCCACTATTTTGGGGTCCCCGTCAGCCTGAAAGGGGACCCTAAGCCTGTAAAGTCAGAACCCTAAACTCCTAAACCCTATCCAAGAAACCCCGAGTCGGCTTTCCACAGAGCCCGGTTGGCACGAGTGCCTCAAAAGACTTCGGTTTTTAAAAAATTCTGGAGTTAAGGATTTGTTCAGGTCTGTTTAGGGTTTAGGGTTTCCGCACGGCGGTTCCGGGCGAGAGAAGCCTGCTGCAAAAGGGTCCGGCACATTCCAGCAAAACTGCTTCGACGTTACCATATTTGTTTCTTGTTATTCGTTTACCATGGAAGAGGAGTTGATGAATGACTTCTCGACGAACATATTGAAGATAAGCGCTTGCAAGAACAAGGTTGAGATGATGGTGACAGTGAATGCCATCAAGGCCTTCACGCCTTCGCACAATTTAGATGAGGGTTTTTTTGTGCTAAACCCTAAACCCTAAACCCTAAACCCTAAACCTAAACCCTAAACCCTAAACCCTAAACCTAAACCCTAAACCTTAGAGGCTTGGAGTTGCATTTTGAGACTTAGAGGTGGCGTCAGACGCAGGGGCCCCATGTCTAGGTGGCTGGGGCCTATAAATAATTAGCTATGCTATTTTGGGGGCTCCTTATAAATTATGGTATAACTGACTCTAGTATACTATACCCCCAAACCCTATTCTAATTTTTAAGGCCCTTACATCACGCACACACCCAGCCCTTGGCAGAAAGCAACGTAACAGCAGCCTGCATGTGCTGGGCGAGAGTGACGATCCATCCATCCTTCAGAGATGCCAGAACAAGCCGTCAATGTTGTCCAACGAAATAAGCATTAGGCCGGATCGGTACCGGACTCTGAACTGTTTATTCTTCCGAGCACATGTGTTTTAAACTTTGCCTAACCCCCCAAGTACCTACTATATAGGGCCCTAGGGGCTCTAGTACCCTATATAGTAGGTACCTGGGGGGTCAGGGTTTGCCTATGCACCACGACGCTGAGATTCGAGCCGCACGGCAGGTTCAGTGTGGGGTGAGAAGGCGAGGATTTAGATCCACTGGACATGTTACAAGAAGTGTGGCTTTAACGATTTCGGGCGCACTGTCACTGCTTGGGATCGAGGGACGTGTCCGGAATGATCATGCTGCTAGCCCTAAACTCCCCAGACATGCTCTTTAGAGACCGGACCGATTCACTCTCCCTGCCAGATACCCAGAGCTCGGGAAGGTATTTCTGTGGGTGCTTGAGCTAGCAGATAGCCATGCCAAGAGGCGAGGTCAAGTTCCCCTGTCTGCGGTTTGGCTCAATCTGTCTCAAGGTGTTTAGTCGAAGTTGTTGGGCTGCCTTCTGGTGGCATCTTCTATGTCGTAGAATCCGTGGAACTCCCGTGCCCTCTACTCGGAGACATGGCCGCGACACCGTGGCAAGTGGGCGATAGGGTGACCATTGCGCAGACCCAGCCGCTCTTCCGCCGAGGAGACCTTCGTGTGGACTAGGACTAGCCCTAAACCCTAAACAGGATTTAGGGTTTAGGGTTTGGAGCTTGGGGGGCTCTTGGGTTCCTGGTAAGTCCGAGAGTGAGTGCTGAAACAGGATTTAGGGTTTAGGGTTTGGAGCTTGGCTTTTGGAGCGCTTTTGGTGGTGATGGAGCTTTAAGCCCTACTTGAACCCAAGGCCTAGCAGCTTGGGCCTCAGCATCACACATAAAGGCTGATACTAGAGTATGAGTATAGTGGGAACACTTCCGGACTAGCAATGGTAGTTAATTCGGCCTCGCACACTAGACCCCCACAAAAGCTCATGCAAAAACCCTGAATCAGGAACCCATGAACTGTAAGACCCCCCCAAACCTAAAGCCTCAACCATCGACCCGACAGCCGGGACCAAGACCCTAAAAGTCTGGTGAACATTTAAGGTCCAGGGTTCTAGTGAAATTGCCGGAGCTTCCAGGGAACAACACACGCAGGCCTCTCTAATCGCCCACGTCGGCCTCTCTAAACCCGGAGCCCTGGTTCTCCAAATGGTCCCTAACCCTCGAAACCTTTTCCCTAAACCGGGGCTGTTGGGTTAAGGGTTGAGGTGGTCAGGGTTTGCGCGCCCGTTCCATCCCCACATGTTAGCAGTCAATCGTACCTGGGATACATCTCGCGCAATTTTACGAGGTTCGCAACACGGGAGGTGCCAAGGTCACATTTCTGTTTCATTTGTCTCAGACATGCGTCTGCGCATGCCCAAAGGGACTTGAACAACCAGTAGCACTAAATCCAGCAGATCTGTTGTGCTTTTTTTCATTTTTTCGGTGGTTTTGAGCTCTTTGAACAAACCGGGCACTAAACCCTGAAGCCACGCCGATTCGAAGCTTAGGAGGAGTTCATACAGATCTATAAACCTATGAACCCCAAAACACACCATCAGAAGTATCAACACTGTTATTGCGAACTTGAGCCATCATCTAGTATGTCGAAACCGTAGCTGAGAAGATGGAGGCGACCCGGAGCTCGGTACGGTGAGGGAAGCATGCTTTCAGAGCAGGAAGTCAGGCAGTGAGACCTGACAGTTGATGTTTTTGTTTTTACCAACCCCAATGTGTAACTACCAATGATCCTCCTCACAACCCCAAACACCCTAAGCGCCCAGACCTGCATAAACAACTCCTCCCTAAACCCCCTGAACCCTCGACAACCCGAAACCCCAAAGCAACCCTAAAGGGGAAAAAAAGCAACTTGAGACCTACTCCTAGGCTTTGCGGCACTATCAAATTCATCGGTGTCACAGAGTTTGCTGGTGGCGAGCCTCGGCGAATGTTGCGTTTCATAGGGTTCCCTAAATCCTAAACCCTAGACCTCGCTTGGCATGTCCGAGTTGTGAGAGTGTAAAAAGAACCTCGCCTGGCATGTCCGAGTTGTGAGAGCGTAAACCCTAGTCTTTGTAAGCTGTTGGGTTTCGAGTGTTTAGGATCTGGGTCCACGGGGCTCTGAAAGCGGTCATGTTTTCTGCGTGTCGCGAGGATGTCTACACTCTACACTCTGTCCACGGCTTGTTTTTGCGTAGTAGGTATTTTGGAATTTGGCATCAGCGAGGCCGGATGTTTCGTAATTGCATGCGCAGTAGAGTAGGTCTCATGATGAAAAATTATGCTCGGCTTGTGGTCTGTGCATATACGGCTACATAGAAAGATTGAGGAATGTACATTCCGGGTGTTACCGTTGAGGAAATAGCAGCACAAAAAAGCCTTACCTCCTGTAGTGACCCGAGTTTGTAGCGCCAGGCTCCGAGTGCACAAGAGAAGTGGTTGTTTCCTTGTGAGGCTTACCCATAGGCCCCATAAGTAGTTCCCTCGGAGTCTAAATGTGAACCATAAATAGGGGCTACTTAGGGGCCTATGGGTAGTGTTCAACCCCTTATCGTATAGGTTCTTCGTCGGGTCAATTGTCCCGAGATCGTAGGGTGTCTTGTGCCACTGATAGTGAGCGCCGTTTGGGATGCAGAAGCCTCAGGATAATTCTTCTTAAACTTCAACTATAACAAGCCTGTTTCGGTGGAGTAGATTGATGCCAAGCCCCAAACCCAACCACGCATGCCCCCGGAACCTTCAAATCCATACACCTATATCCGAAGTCCTAAAACAGGCACAAGCTGCCCCGAGGCTTTGCACATGTTGCGCAGAACTCTCAACAAAGAGTGGTTCATGTAAACATGAAAACCTAAAGACACAAGCTAGCTTGCAACCACAAAACCCTAAACCCTAAACAAGCTGCCAGCCCTTGAACCACTTCAGTCTCCAACCCATGCCCCCACGAAGCCGGATTACAAGCCATACATGTCTTCGAAGCCCTGACTGCCCTTGTAACATGTAGAACTTTAAGCTTTAGGAATGGATGGGCATCGAACTGGACGAGAAGGCCAGACCAGCCCAATTTGGGAACCTAATGCACGGTTTAGGGTTTAGGGTTAAATCAGAATAGGTTTTTGGGTTACGTGTGATTTATTCAAGGGGACTAGATTTACAGGGTATACTGGTACCACATCTTCCGACTCCTCTATGTTCCCTGTATTGCTTCGGCTTCGGGCTACGAGGTTCGGATTTGATGTCACATCTTGCTACCCACACACCCTCCCCCTAAACAGGGTTTAGGGTTTAGGATTTAGGGTTTATAGGGTTTAGGGATTAGGGTTTAGGGTTCAGAGTTGATTAAGTGCCTGAAGTTCAAACCGAGTCCCGTGGAGTCACGAACGCAACCTGAAAGCCCCCGGCGATTCTGCCGGATGTTTGACGCGTACACGTTGTTTCGTTGACTTTAATGGGTTTCAAGTGTAGGGTTTGCAGGTTCAGGGTTTTTATTTTGCGTTTCGAGTTTTGGAGTTTAGTATGTATGGGTTTAGGGTTCAGTAGCTTTGGGTTTTGTAGTGGGGAGAGAGAGGTGTTATGGTCAGAGAATTGGGAAATTCAGGTTTTGAATAGGGTACCCTCATACCGATCATTTGGATCCCTACATCCTAGACTTTGGGGTTGGAGAAACGGGAAACTCAGAGGATGAGGTACCCTACTGTTGATGACATAAACCCTGCATTGCTTTAAAGACCCCAAACTATGGGAATTATGGTATGTTC